GGCTGAGTCGGCTCAGCTGCAGGTTGGGAAGTGATAATGCTCGTACAGGAGCCGTGGCTGTCTTACTAAATGTAAGAGCTAGAATGTATCCTACTAAATATAAGAGGTAGAGGAATAACCCTTGTAAGAGCTAGTGGCAGTCTTCTCCAAAATAACCACGGATGGTCAAGGAAAGGGGAATTAACAAAGCAGCAGCTCAATTAAACCACTTCCAAACATTTTGTCTTTCTTCCTATGCAGCTAGGACAATCCTTCTGAACCAGGCAAGGGTTGATGCTATCAGTATTTATCACGGATGTGGAGAAAGCATCAGCACAGAAATGACTGAACAAGTTTATGTTAGCGCGTTGAATCTGCTCCCATCAGCCACAGGTTTGCTACGCTGCATGTTAAACGGGAGCACCTGAGAAACGGAGCACTTGGATGTAAAGGCATCTGTACTTGTAAGTCCAGATTTTAAGGGGCCTTGGCAGTTTAATACAAACTGAAATTGTAACTGTTCTGTGTTGTGGTTTTCTATTTCGATGCTGTACATATTACACTATAGTGTCCTACTCAAGTATGCAGGATAAAATTATGCAGTCGCTGCTCCCCCGTGGCTCTCACCTGAACAAAACATGCATCATATCACCGTGCTGAACCACTTACTTTGCATGGATTGAATGCACAAGCTAATGTCATGCACTGTGGCCTCATGGCCCCAAGTGCACAAAGTTATGCTCAGCATGAATTTTTGGAGATTTATATCTAACACACTTATATCCAATATCTAGATGCTACTGAAATCTTCACAGGCCCCCTCAAATACTGCCTGAAGTCCTTCAGCCCCTCTGTCAGTAAAATCCCCAGGTACTGAGGATCTCTCTGGTGAGTTGGTGTCCCCATTCCCACGCTGCAGAGGTGCTCAGAGGCCTTCCTGGTGCCAGTCTCAGCAGGACTCTCAAACAAAGCACCGTCCTGGGCATCTGAACTACCAGGTCTGGCCCTACCAGATATCCCTGCTCACTCATTGCCTCCTAAACACAGCTAGGGATGAAGATTATTTTTTAATCTAGGGGTTAAGATTTTTTTTTTTTCAGTAGGTGGACTACCTCCTTGACATAGCAGCTTAAAAGTCCCTGCTGTGCCTGTTCAGAAGAGGAGCTTAGAGTCAAGTATCCCAGTGGTGGGAATACTCGACTCTAGGGTGGGAAAGGCACTTTAGCACATCCCAAGAGCTTTGGTGTCATGATGGGGGTCTTTTTTTTGTGTGTCTCCTAATCGCTGAACTGCCTTTTCTCCTATGCTTATCACTGTCAGTGTAAAGGTCATAGCTGCCAGATATGGATGATTTAACTGACTTTAGACACTTCTGAGGAATGGGGTGGTATAGATTAGGACAGTCTGTAGCATGTGCAGGAACAACAGGATGAAAGACAGCTGGCAAAATGGCTATATCACTTGCGATTCAATGAAGCACATAAAAAGTGGATATGAAGCCACTCCTACATTCACACTAACTCAAACAAATGTTTTTCTTTTCCATTTATTGCACTCCTACTTTCTCCAGGCCGTTGGTGGGTCAGCTGGAAACTGTACACCAAGTTGCATGGCAAGCAACTCATGAATGGCTAATCAAATAAGACATCCTTACTTAAATAACCACTTCTCGGTAATTACCTGAGAGAGACAGGGTTTGTCCGTGAGATCTGCCTGCAGCGAAGGAGTAGCACTGCAGGCTGTGGGCCCCCTGCATCTAAAGGTAGCTCTTCTCTTCCGCTCTGCTGAGCGAGGAGGAGTACTGTGCGGGGTGGGGATGGGGCCAAACAAGTGCAGGAAGAAAGGATGGGCAGATGGCTCACAGGCCGTAAATAGGATGCCTTACCTTCTGTGTAAACGTAGAACATCGCAGCCTGCACCTAAGGCTGTAACAGCAGGGACTCTTCGTTCTTGCTTTCCCTGCAAATCGCCGCCCACACCGAGTCCTGCCTGGGGCTCCTGGGATACACGCTTAGGTCAGTAGCTTGGTGTAAGGGTTTTGATCTAACAGAGTACGTGCTGCTTGGTGCTCCCAGCCCTGTTAAGCGGCCTAGTACTTCAGATCACACCAAGGGCTTGCTGAGCAGAGCACTGAAGTATCAAAAGATAAATTGACATTCTCTCTACACTAAAAATTTAGTACGTGCTTTCTTCTTTTCTGTATCATAAGTTATCTATTAATTTAGTGGTTAGATCCCCGAGAAATCCAGAAACATAGATAACATTCAGATCATCCATCTTCCCAGTCAGGAATTACTGTAATCATCTAAAAGTATCCCTTCCCCAAACAAAATGAACGTGTAAGCACAGCCTGCGCAGCAATCCCTTCCTGCACTGTATTGTAAGGAATTCCAGTGCAATGCACGTAGTCATTAAGCCAATTGTTTCATATTAGTTTTGCCTTTCTACTAAGAAAAGAACCTCTGGCTATGAAAGATTTGCATCTCAGCAAAGAGACTTCCAGAAGTGGTCACAAAAAGGGAGAATCCAAATAAAAGTTCTCCCTTGCAGAACAGGAAGGAAAAAAACATACGTTAGAGTAGAAAGCATCAGAGGGTCAAAATCCCCTAAGGACATTAGGGAAATACCAGAGTATATTAAAAAAAAGGCCCTACCAGCTTTAATGTTCCCACACAAGTAAATCACAAGAGACAGGCTGGGCACTCATTTACATAGGAGCTTCAGAATGAGACAAGCCTCATGTGACTTCAGGGTTATGAGTAATGGGCTCAGAAAGCAGCAGAGAAAAATCAGTGGGATCTGGGGCATTGAATCTGAAATCCTTCCTCTGCGCAGAAGTTGCAGTTAACGGCAACTGGAGTTAACCAACCTCCCGACACTGAAGGTGTCATGGTGGAGGCTCTGCCTTTTCAGCGTGCGGGGGCTGATGGCTGCCGAGGCTGGATGCCGTGAGCTGCGTCCGTCTCCTGGTGGAGGCATCCCTCCCGGTCTTTGGCTGCTCTTTCAGCACCGAGGTGTCCGCCTGGTGCAGAAGTTCGATGAATCGGGCAGGCATGTGAGTTGCATGAGTTGCAAAGAAAGGGGAAGGAGGGTACGGATGAACAGAGATTTTGAGAAAGAGCAGTATGCTGTACAGATGGGGTGGCAGATCCAGCAGGCTCTGCTCTGGGGGGAGTAGGCTGACTTCTAGGTTGTATGCTCTGAAAGGAGGGGTACATGGGTCCCGAGGGAGCTGGGCTAAACTGTAAGGAGAACAGTAGGCGTGAGGAAGGCATCCAGGAACATGGGCTAGAGAGCTGAGTGAATTACAAGGACTAGCTAACCTGTGGCAAAAGTACTCAGGAACTTAACATCTGCATGGTTTCAGTGGGGACAGCACTGAAGCATACGCTGAGGTGTGCTCCTGAGCAGGGATTAAAGGGTTAACCAGGATAGAGAGCAGCTGACCTGGAGAGGTCAGCCTCTTCGGAAAGGCTCCTCTTTCCTGACTGCACAGGGACGTTTGCACCCCTGACTCATTTTTTTCCTTCAGGTCACGGCCAACACCAAGAAGCCATGGTAGTGTACAGTATTGCCTGTCAAGGCAGAGGTCTGAAACACTCGAGTGCCGACACAGGCATACTCGTGCCGCACTGAGGGAGCGTTACAGAGCAGAAGTCCCCTGGCAGCGGGGCTGGGTTAGGCTGAGCTTGGGATGAGAAGAAAACACCGCTTTCAAGTACTTTTTCAAGTAGCAGTTGGCCACTTGCTTTTCAGGAGCTATCGAGCAACCCAGAAGCCACGACCGGAAGGTGAGGGGCTTCCCTGCTGCCCCTGGTGAGGGGAGGTGGTAGGCCTGCCCTGCGCCTTCGGAGCTGCACGTGTGGCTGGGCATCACGCGCTGCCAGCACCACCTCCCAAGGTGGCACTCACACAGCATCGGTTGGGAAACCCTTGCACAACTGATGGATGAATGAAGAAAGCAAAGTCGTGTCAGTCTAAGCTTAGCTTCTCTTGCACAGTCCTGATCACCCTTACTTTCCCATACCCATAGTTCTGGGGACTGAAGATACTCTGCACCCACAGGAGCCAACTCCTTATGCACACCGACTGCATGGGTCTCCCACAGTACCGAGAGCTCTTCCTGAGAGGACAATGATGTAAGGTGGGAGTATGCAGAGACTTACAGCAAGTTATTGTCTCTTCAAAGCGCTTGGCTACATCATCTGAACCAGGGAGCACTTGGTAACGCGCTGCATGGTGGTCCTGAACAGAAATGCTTTCTTCAGGGGGTGTCCAATGCTCAACTGTGCTCTCTCTCATCAATATAAAATAGCAAATTCAATCCTTCAATAATTTATTTTTTTATATCAGAGAATGTTTTTCAATTATACATTTAAGTTTGTAACTTTCAACACAAGAGTAAATATATGTAAAAAAAAAATCCTAGCTGTGCAAATTTCAAGTTGCATTGTTTCAAATAATATAAATATTTTAATAAAACATATGTTCACATTAAGGTTCACAAAATATATAAAATTTAACTGAAATAAGTCATGAGTTATTTAATTTTTTTTTTTTTTTAAACTGTTTTTTAATAACTAGAAAAAGATTCTAGTATTGAGAAAGAGGCAGAACTGGGAAGTTCTTTGGATTCAAATGCTTCACACTTCCTCCTGGGAAGTCCAAGAATTAAATATGGCATTGTAGGAGCTTAGTCATGAACGACAGCTCTGTGCAGAAGGCAACCTGCCCTTCTCAGCAGTCCCTGTATGCAGTGTTTACAGGAAGTAGACATGTATTCCTGTTCTTGGGAATAAACACGAACACAAGCAAACAGCTTATATTTCCTCCCGCGCTCCCACTCCCAGGACTGTTAAGTGTTTTGGATATAGCACCGTTTCAGTGAAGGAAGTAGCTGGTATCGCTTTCTTGTTCTTTACCAACTCCTCCCCTCCGCTAGCCATAGATCTGTTTGAACTGGTAGCATTCATTGCAGTAGCCGTTGCACTTGGCATTGCCATAGTGGTCACAAGCAGGGGCTCGGCAGCGTTGCTTCGGGGGCTCCTCTGCAGCCGGGTCCCTGGCACTCCCCGACGGCGCGAGCTGACCGAGGCGCTGGCACTCCTGGCACAAGTCATCGCTTCTGCAGGCCAGGTTGTTTCTACACAAAGCCACAGCACACTGCCTCTTCTGGCTACTCAACGCTGCTCGCTGCAAATCTCTGTGCTGTCCCGATCTCTTGAAAAACATTAAAACACATTGTCAGTTGCCGTGCTGGCAGCACAAGCGGCTTTTCATTTACTTTCAACTCTGCTAATGGTTTGTATAGGTAACCACTGGGGGTTGTTGCAGACACACGCTTCTTCTGAAAAGCACAATACCAAGAGCCAAGTTGGGCTTTACCACAGAAAATAGCAAATTTTCTTAGAAAAAAAATGTTTTTTTATCTTTGGTAACTCTCAATTCTAAAAGGGTCAAAACAAACCAAATATAAAAAAAAATCTGGAACAATGAAAATCTGTGATGGGCTCAATGAAAAAGGCAACATGAAGCGGACTAAATCCCTTGATGCAGCTGCATAGCTCTAAGGGTAAGAAGGAAAATACCTCCCTGAGCAGCAAAAAAACCAACTGTTGGTCCAATTGCTTCCACTGAAATTGCTGGCGAAATCCCAGCTGAGGTAAAACTGAACACGGCCATGATAACCCTAAACTGAGAATGACTTTTAGGAGTGTTGCTCAGTTGCAACAGGAAAAAATCATGAGCTACTCTACGCTTGTCTTTCCATGATACTTAGGATGCAGTCATTTGAGGATTTTCTAGTACGCATCCTGAGTCGTTCACACAAGAGAAAAATGTGCAGCGCTAAACAAGAGGAAGATTTTGAGAAGTTCACACTTACTTCTGGCTGTCTCACCAGCTGTTCTTCCGTCCTCCTGGCTTCCTGAAATTGCTGGTTTTGGGCTTTAATGAAGCAGTTCTGGCAGTACCCTTCGAGCATCGTGCTGCCCAGGGTGCCGCAGTCGCGTCGCTGGCAGGACACGGTGTTATGGAAGGCGGGAGCGGAGGTCCCCAGCTGACCTGCTGCCGAGGACTTCCGCTGAGATCTCCTCTGGTGGCGTAGCAAAACGCTGTCTGTAATGCAAAGTAAGGACAGGAGGAGTTTGAATGTGCCCAATAGACCTCATGATCCAAAGCAACTATGAAAAGCTTCCCCTTTTTTTTTTTTTTTTTTTAAAAAAATCTACTAGCCTCAAACATGGGTTTTGGACAATCCTGAGACCCCTCAGTTGATGCACTTTCCTCCACGTTGCATAAATAAGGGAGCTAATTTAGCCCAATTTTTGTATCAGAAGTTCTTGAAACAGCTGATTTGGGAAAAACTTGCCCTCAGTGGGAAAACTAGATCCCATTGAAGTCAAGAGGAATTTCACCTTTGGGTTCAGCGTGACATCTGTGATCTACCCCAACACTTCCCTCTCGGCCTCCCCCATTTCAGGTGCATCAGGTAATGGAAGTACAGTGGCACAGAGCTTAATAGGCTTTTTAGTCTCATGAAGCAATCTTACATATTCCACAATCAGAAGGAAAAAATTTAATTGTGAACAGCGCTGGAAAATAATCTATTGCAAGCTGGCATAGAAGTTCCCTAATTTGAAAGTATGGGGAAAGTGCAGCATTGGCACACTTGTCAACAATGAAACAGTCTTAAGAGATGAGCAAAAATTCTCTCTTACAGGTGCCTTTCACCTTCTATACCCAAGGGCTCTTTGCCTGTGTAACAGAGCAGTAGCATGAAAGATGAAGATTTCATGCTGTGATTTATTCACAAACTATTACCTTTTTGAAGGCCTGCCTTTAAACACACGTGCACACACGTGCGCCATGCACATGATACTACCAAGAAAGATTTCAAGGTAGATTATGACAATACACTCCTAAGTTACTCCAAAATACAAGCACATTGTCTACAGTCAACTTCTACTTGCTCTGCTTATCAAGGCGACTTCAGTAGTTACTCCAGAGTGTTATACCTGTTACATCCAGAACGGATATGGATCTTCAAATTCATCCCAAGCTTTTTAAAAGTCTTGCTAACATAACTGGTTTTCAGTAGCATCAATACAACAGCATTTCCCTCACCGACTCCTACAACTCGTCTGGCTGTGAAGAAAATCCATACCAAACCATGACTGCAGTGGACGGTGGGGAGGGATCAAACCCACTCCCTCTTGAGCTAGTTTTGCTTCCATGCAAGCCGACGGGAAGCTTTACAAGAGATTTCACAGATTTCCCCCAGTGTTACCACGTGCCCCTTTTACGGGATAACAACGGCCAAAAAAGCACCTTCTCCTCAGACTGCTGCTGCTGCTGCGCCACACCGTTTCCACCATCCCTTGCCCTTCTAGCACCCAGTGCACGCAGAGCTTCGTAGCTCGAGGAGGCCGACCTGCAGCCCAAGTGTACCAAAGCTCACCCCATCTCCGCTTACCGTGGTTTTCCCGGTACTCAAAGAAGCACAGCGTACAAAAGCCCTCATTCTGCGACGTGCCAAAAAACTTGCAGCCAGGTTTCCTGCAGAGGTTGCCTCCCCTCTTCTCCTCGGGAGGCAGAGCCGGTGGCGGGGGCTCCTCGCCACGGCTGTTGGGAGCCTGATGGCAGGAGTGCTGGAGGAGGCCCTGTGAGATCTGGGACGGGTCAGATGTCGATCTCTGGTGGCACGTGGGCAGAAAAGCAGGGCTGCCGTTTGAGGAGCGCTCTGTGGACCTTTTGAAGCAAGTGCTGCATATGCCGTTGAAGGTCCTTTTGGCCTTCTGACGGCACACTGTGCATGTGGCATAGTCTAAATGTCTCCGGTCATCGAAGTTGTTGCAAGGACCAAGCTGTCTGGAGTTGTAGCAGCGTTCGCAAAGCCCATTGTGTTGCACATTCAATGTAAAGGGGCAGTCTGGTGTCCTGCATTTCATGGCCGTGGTCTCGCTGTACAGGAAAAGGCTCGGAGCAGTCGGAGGTGCGGAGCGAGGCCCTGTTACAGGCCCTTCTGACGTCCATCCCCCAGGTTCACAAACGTCCCCACGGGAGGAGCCCGACCCAGCTGCCTTCAGTTTCTCAGGTGCTGCTTTGAAGGTCTGCTTTCTTCCTTTGCTTCCCTGGGACCTCCGCTCAAAGCACTCGTGGCAGTAGGGCTGGGTGTTCACAGACATGTAGAAAGGGCAATTCGGCGTTTCACATTTCACCTGTAAGAGGGAGAGCTGGGAAAGAGACAGTTCCTGTCTGTTCCTGGAGCAGGTCTCTCTTCTAGCAGGTTCAGCATTCTCCTGCCACTTCTTGTACTCATGCTGTACCAGCTGAAAGTAATCTTCCACGAGGTTTATTTCTTTGGGTAGGTTGCCTTCATCTAACCTGACAGCCAAAAAAGGAAGATGGCATCAGTGGTTGAAAAGGGCAGATGGTGGGGGTGGAGGCAAATAAAAGCAATGTGGGGAGGAAATGTAGATTTAATGCGCATCCATATTACTCAGCTAGAAGATCCAGGATGCTAAACTGTTGCTGTAAATGGAAATAATTTTAAAAGCAGGCGTTCAGTAACGTCAAATGGAGACTTTCACATCTAAAGAAATGGTCTGACACAATGCTAAACAGAAGTATTCTTAAAAGGATCTTCTAGGTGAGGGTTTTCTGTCTGAGAGCTGTTTGCACAAAGAATATGGATAATCTCTCAGAAGTGAAAAGAAAAGTCCCCCAAGTCCTGAAGTCCTCTGAAGACCAGTGCTCAGCTGAGCAGAGGTTAGAGTGGAAGACCCCTCCCTTCACCAGCCCACGCTAAGAACTAGCCTTCTCTACAGTGGGCTCAGCATTTCATGACACAGTTTATCATGAAATCTGCTCCTGGTTTTGCCCTGTTGGGTCGGTATCTACCAGCGGAATTCTTTAAACAAACCATGGGGCTTCAGTGCTAGCATCCATCACACCATCCCTACTCTGCCCCCGACCGCAGGGAAAACCCCACACCGGAGCTTCACCGTGCCACAGTTGGTAGGATGAGGAGCTAGCATTACTGGTGACTCGCAAGAACACATCCGTGCTGTGGGACTAGGGAAGCTCAACTGCTACTCTTTGTGTATGCATATATCCTTTGGGTAGGAGGACTTCAATCTTCAAGGCTCCTAAACCAGAACCACCCAACAGCATAAAAATATCTCCCTGCATGGTAATGGAAGCAAAGACAGAGGATACAGGGGGTCGCTTCCCTCCCACATTTGTGAAGGGGCTGGGCGGACACCGCTGCCAGCGTCCCCTAAATGCGAGAAGCCGACGGGTGCCGCCAGCTGCCCCCTGCACGTTACTGATGCTCAACCGTCAGGGGGACGAGCGCAGACGCCGGTTCCTCCACCGGCCACAGCTTCCTGCCTACTGCCGCACTGCAACAGCCCCGGCTGTCAAGGCATCTGCGCTAAGAACATACCGCCTAGTACCCTCCCTCGGGCAGCCAAAATTACCAACTGCCCTTTATGCAAATGTGCCCTTACATAAAACGCAAGAGTTCGGTCTAACCAGTTCCCGGGTTTAACCACTTTTCAGCCACCCTCCTGTGTAACCTAAAAGTCAGTGAAACTAATCCATTGGGCTTACTCTCCTAAAATATTAGTTTCAGTCTGCTAAGTCTAAAGACGTTTTTGCCTTTACATTTTAGACTAGCTTGAGCTCATACCACTTCAAAGCATGTCAGCAGTAATGCTATTATTTCATATTGCACACGTGTGCTACCGTGGAAGGAAAGACCAAAGGAACACACTGGGCTGCTCGGCTTCTCCCACCACCATAAACAAGGTAACTTTGAAGAAACAGGAATGACACTCACTTTGCAGCATTAATTAGATGAGTTGTACCATGATCCCAGCCTTGCACTGGAATTTCTATCACTATCAAATAGTCTTTTAGCAGCTGCTCTTTCTCCTTCTCCTCTGTTTCTGTCAGAAAGTGCACGCTCAAGTCCTCAAATCTGCCTCGTTCACTGGTGACCAGAGGGACAGCCCGGATTTCTGTGGGGAAACAAGATGGGTTAGCATATATATATACTTTACCAGGCAGGAGTAACCACAAGATGCAACACACAGGGATGTCATCACTGCTGCTGAATTTCGGAGAGAGAGGACAACGGCTGGCCAGAGCAACTGGTTTCTAAACAGTGCCACTGGGGGAGGATGCAGACATGCCTGCACCACAAACGTAGCCCCATCCCACGGGAATTTTAACGTCCCCATAGCAATTTCCTTCTCAGTGTGGGCAGCATTGTAGATCTTAGTTTGTTATACCTTTCCACGGGATGATGCCCTAACCTGAACCTAGAGAACTGCTACCCATTCAGAACAGATGCATTAAAACTGGCAAAGCATATATCTCATTATCCCTGCCAGGCAGGGGTACACCGCTGCGAGACCATGTCCTTCAAAGCTTCTTCTCTTACGATGGCGCGTGGAAAGGAGGCCAGAACACAATGAAGCAGAGGCCACCATTTGACTGACCCCAGCCTGCAAGCAGGTGACTTGTACTCTACTTTCAACTGGCGTTTTGAAGACAACCCTTATTTTCTATTCAGTCAAAACTGTTTCTGCTCACATTTTAAGCACATATTCCAAAGGAATCTTTTACATCAATTTTAACTTTTGAAATGCAAATCTAAACCAGATTATATTTTAAATGCTTTATCAGCATGATGATATTGAAGAAGCTACATAAATACCAAACAAGGTACTTGAAAAATACCTGGCCCGCTGTCCTTCAGAGTCACTAGTGGTGTAAAATGCATATTGTCGTAGCCGAGCACAATTGGGTATCTGTAGCATTCTTCAGCTGGCCAAAGAAGAGGCAAGTAAATACCACCAACATTCAGAGGAGCAAAACTGGAGCCTGACTCTAAACTTCTCACCACTTTATCTGCATAAGGAGGAAAAAGAAAACACAAATAAACACAAATAAGTATGTGCTACAGGCAAGAGAAAACATACTTCTAGGCGTTTTAGAACAATTGCTGAAAACGCCCCATTCTGAAATGCATCTACCTGAAAACAACAATTATCGAAGTAAGATTACTAACACAGCGCAGAGTAACACGGTGAGATGACTGTCTGGGCAACTCACCTGCAAGGACAATGACTGGCCTTCTGAGGATGTTAGCAAGGATGAAGATGTGGATTTCTTCCAGTGCATTATATGGAAGCCTGTTTCGAGCCCCAGATGTTTCTGGGGAGGTCATTTCAATGAGGTATTCCCACTCCTCCTCCCAATTCTGAGGAAAGAAACATCCATCAGCAACGGTTCAAAGACACGGAGGTCAAGAACCAACTGCAGCACAACAGTGCGCAAGATAATCATATTTTCCCATTTCCTCCAAAGGAAGACTATTTCTGCTCTCCACTAACGGCAGAATCCGTGAAGCCAAAAAGCAAATGAAATCAGCAAGGCAACGCTGACGAGCACTCAGAAAACAGCAAGATTCCCTAGGCCGCCTTACCCGGGTGTCATAGTGGAGTCCCGTTTCTACAAACTCCTGGGATTTAATAGCCTCCCGCTGCCAGCGGAGCTTGAAGTTCCGTGTGTCAATCTCCCTGAGTGCGCTGAACAATGTTTTTCTTAAGACGAGGTCGATGTCTTCAATACCCCACATGTACTGTGATGCAGCATGCATGAGGCAATTTCCATCACCTGCAAAAAAAGAAAGAGTACATTATTTTTAAATGGCTACTTAAATAAAACCCCACAAGTGCGCAGGATGTAGAACTACGGTGTGCGTATCCATATTCCCTGTGCACTTCTCTCTAAGCTTCGGACAGAAGGATTTTAACAAGAAGACCACAGCTATGAGCTCTCTGCTCAGAGACAGAAAGGAAGAAAGTCCCCTCTCTACTGGTTTCTCCCTTCACCGGTTGGTGTTAAGCTGTCATTCAGCAATGGTGGTGTGCTGGTATGGAATAAGGGGTGAAGAATGTGCTGGTTTTGGCTGGGGTAGAGTTATTTTCTTCATAGTAGCTAGTACGGGGCTATGTTTTGGATTTGTGCTGGAAACAGTGTTGATAACACAGGGATGTTTTCGTTACTGCTGAGCAGTGCTTACACAGACTCAAGGCCTTTTCTGCTTCTCTCACCACCCCACCAGCAAGTAGGCTGGGGGTGCACAAGAAGCGGGGAGGGGACACAGCTGGGACAGCTGACCCCAACTGACCAAAGGGATATTCCATACCATATGACGTCATGCTCAGCATATAAAGCTGGTGGAAGAAGGAGGAAGGGGTGATGTTCAGAGTGATGGCATTAGTCTTCCCGAGTAACTGTTAACGCGTGATGGAGCCCTGCTGTCCTGGAGATGGCTGAACACCTGCCTGCCGATGGGAAGCAGTGAATGAATTCCTTGTTTTGCTTTGCTTGCGCGTGCAGCTTTTGCTTTACCTATTAAACTGTCTTCATCTCAACCTACGACCTACGAGTTCTCCCACTTTTACCCTTCCGATTCTCTCCCCCAGCCCACCGGGGGGAGTGAGTGAGCGGCTGGGTGGGGCTTAGTTGCCGGCTGGGGTTAAACCATGACAAGTGGGAAGCCTGCCCCTTATCTATCTTACTTAACTTCGACTGATATCATGAACTAAATTTTGGGGTCAACTGCAAATGTCAAACACAGTTGAAATAGCTTTTAAACACAACAAAGTCAACTTAAAATTACAAAAGAATGTGTAAATCTCCCTCATCTGCATTTATACAAATATACACCTGATGGCACAGGGTAAAGATAATGGAAACCACTAAGAAAATACTATAGTAACACCAAGCCTCACATCCCCTGATGAGCACTGCATTGAAAGGCTTGGCACTTGGCTGTGCTTGATGGAGAAATTGTAATTAAAAAAAAAAAAAAAAAAAAGACAGAAAGGGAAGAGTAGGTGATTTATGTAAAGCAATTGTAGGAACACCTCTTGCCTTCCTCTCGGAACTGATAGTATGCTGTGCTGTTAAAAGTTTTATTTAGAGGGTTGTTTTTATAAAATACAAAATTAAAACTAAATAAATGAAAACCATAGTGATTTGATTTTCATTTAGACACACTCCTTGCATTGAAAAAGTCCTCTTTACTCTACAGTAGGAAGGAAAGCGATGTTCTGCAATTTCAGAGGGGAGGAAACCAAGAATCAGAGGAGTTAACTAACTTCATTAAAAGGTGTGACAAAGTATGCCTATGGCTGGGTTTCAAATTCTATCTCTAGCCATCTTCTTCAAAAGGGGATGTATCCCTTGAAAGGGAGACATCAAGAATCATTACTGTTATATCCTCAGATTCAAAACTAGGTCCGGTGTTTACTACAGTGGTAAACAGATTCACCAAATGCTAAGAAACCACAGCAATTTCCTTGGAATAGAGGACATCAACCATGGTAAAGCTACTAGATTTTTCTCATGTGGAAAAAAACCTCATCCAAAGAACACCCACAAAAGACTTAAACCCAGTTTGCCACATGCCTTATGAGCTCAAGTACACCATTTGTGAACACTTTTACTACTTTTTCTATGAAACTGCAGAGAAAAACCTACAACAGACCCCAGAACCTGAAAAAAGGTATCATTTGAAATCTAGTTAACACTTCATAAATTGCTATGGACTCAGTGTATATCAAGTTCCTGCAACTGCCTTCTGGTCTCTGAATGCTGTCTTGCAAAGCTTACTTCAAGTCTGCAGGCTGCCTTCTTGAGCTCAAAAATCAAGGAACAACATATAAGACAGAAAAACTGTCTGGGTTTCCTTCTGACCAAGAAAGATAATATTAATCCCATTAAAATTTTCCCTTTGCAAAATCTAGAGCAAAGATAAGATTTTTTTTTTTTCCCTCTCTCTCCGAGAGCTCACTTTCAGTTCTTTATTGAGAAGCGCTGCCCAAAATTCCTTACACAGCACTTGGAATTCCCCTGCGCTGTTTGACTAGCAATTGAGCAACAGTTGTACTTTTTGTTCTGCAGCGCGCAGGGCTGAGCAGCGAAGCCTCCCTCGGACTTTCCCGGGGGGTGTGGCTGGGCGAGCTGGAATGAATGCCGATTCATTATACAAGTGAAATCTCTACAGCCAATAGATGCTGGAATTTTTAAATTTAAGAAAAAAAAAACAAAACAGTTTCAATTTTTATACCTCCTACTGCTTTCCTTCTATCTTCCATCCGCATGACTGCAAAGAAACGTGTGGTGATTCAAAAGGGCCTTTTTTAATTAAAAAAAAAAAAAAACCACCACTCCACAAACTCATGCACATATTAGGTAAAATATACATTGAAGGATCCTATAGGAAATACTTTCTGTTTTCAACAATTAAAACCTTCATTAGAAAAAAAACCCAGAATTTTCTGAAGAAAGCCCACTGTTGACTGAAAGAACTAGTAAATTCCTCCCTCATCTATGGGTCAAGCAGCTAAATGTTTTTTAAAGTATTCTTTACGCCACCTGGGAGAAAAAAAAGCCCATGTTATTTTCTGCGATAACACGGGGCTTCTGTCCCTTCTTTCAGGGATTCTCTCCTTCAGTCCAGTCTACCTTCTCTCTCCTGCATAGGTCCCTCGCTGCGAATACTTTGCATAAACCACAGGTCCCCGAAGCCACTCCTTCTACACATGCACCTAATGACCCTAAAGCACTGAACCGAAGCAGAGTTCATTGCCTGCACAGGGTACGAGGGGACCACAAACCGAGCCCTCGCTTTGCCCTCCCTCAACCTGCCCTAGTGTTTCAGCATCTTGTGTACTGGTACGCCTGCTCACGGATGGGATCCAAGTCACCAGTCCACAAACTGTTCCCATTTGTAACACTGGCCCACAGTCATGAGACAACGCCAGAGGTCACAGTTATTGAATACAGTGTTGTCAGCAACAAGGGCCTGTCCGGGCAGCGTTAACCCCTGCAGGACTCGTACTAACAGGAGATGGGGGATTCCAAAACCGTTGCTCTTTGCCCTGGGCAAGAATTACGCACGTTATCCATTCTCCTAGTAAACCTGTATCTCCTGGGGTGAAGTTTTGAAGACGCAACACTTGGAGTGATGCTACCTTCCTAGTACCTGCAAAGCGCTGCCTGCCCTAGCTGCAACTCCAGCCCTTCCGGAAATTCAAGACTACGCCATCTCCACGCACAGCCTAATTACAGTCATGAGAATTTTACACACGTGCAAAAGCCCACCAAAAGGTCAGTGCCTCTATGGCAGTTACGGAGACACACATTAGGATCAGGCTATTCTAGGTCACGGCAGTGACATCTACACGGTGGTTCTGTTTTTATGGCTTTTGCACAACACAGCCGTGTGCAATCAGCCTGAGAAGTATGGTAGAACTTGGGATGGGAAGAATGTGGATTAGGAAGATAAGGGCAATGCGTATATAAACAGATACGGAAAGAAGCATCCACAGAACATAACATAAGGACTTCAGTGATGCTGCAGGTCCACCACACCCAGTGTTTCTATAACCACTGTCATCCGCTCCTTGAGCAAAGAATATGTATTTTCCATGTTCTTGGAGTCCTCACTGTCCCAGTCTACCTTCCCGGTTCGGGGCAATCTGTGCTGTAGGGAATCCTGAGTCCAAGTCTGCAGCTGCGTGACCGTAAGTCATAGCCATTACCAAATCTTTCCTCCACTGAATGTGAAATGCCCAGTGACTCCTACAGTCATGTGCAAAAGTTTCCTGCTCAAGACTGTGGACACATGTCCAGGAAATCTTTGCACTACTGCTATACCTTTTAGTTTACAGCACTTGATGCAATACACACAAAGTAACCCAAAAGCCAAGACCTAAAACCAGCACTGACCCTTGCAAGAAAGGGGCACTGCAAACTTTGTGTTGCACAAAGATGGCTGTCATTCACGCACACGGGAGTTACCGGTGAGCCCTGAGGGAGGGCAAGAGCTGGCAAACCCCAGCAGGTAGCTGAGGATGAGGGAGCCGGCCGGGTGCGGGGCGCTGACTCCGGGGCCAGCGAGGTCAGGTTCCCAGAGACTCCGCGTCCAGGACGCTCCCACCAGCACCGCTGTTAAAGCTGGATCAGTAAGTGAACCTTGCCTGCCAGATACAATGGCAGGGCTTATGGCAGGATATTAACTTCTGCTATATATACACGGGAATGCACCCCCATCACTCAAAGCATGAGAAGTCTCCTCTTGCCTGGCATTAAGGGCCATTCGGCACGTCCGACGAGGCAGCCGACACATAGCAGAGTTGAATTCATGGAAAGGCGATGGATTGCAAGTCAAGGTTCCCGCCTGGTATTTTACTCTGACGTACCATGGGTTACTGATATTATGAAAGTATCTGTGAAATCTTCAGGCTATTCATAATACCGTGATATGGGCAGGAGACTGCTACAGCCTCAGGACAGCGCATCATGTGGAAAGAATTTTAATTTACAAAACTAAGATTAAAAGGCACCACTTTTTTAAAGCCGAGCGCTTCTGTTTCAGTAATGTGAGCTCAGATGCTATTAATAAAGGTGCTACATTTGTATTACCCGTTTTAATGCGAGTGCAAAGACCTGCTCATAACTTACCATTAGTCTTCAAAGGGACAAGTCTCCGAACTTCCATGCACCAGTTGAGCTTCCTCTGGCGCTCCAGCGAAGTCTGGGTGGCCTGGTCAGTCAGGGCCTTCTGAAGTGTTTCCCGAAACTGAGGACAAAACTGGCACATTCTGAACATTTCTATGGTGTATCTGTGCATAGTCCTGAAGTGGTGAATTATTCCACTGGGGGGTTTGACCAGATCTTCAGGTGTCCTCTCTCTAATCTTCATGGCTTTCAGCATATTGCTCTGATACAAAGCTTGAGGAAGGATGTGTTGGCCAGCCATGTTTCTAGAAGACATCTGAAACGAAAAAGGATCCTTTTATTGGCATGTTAGTGTCCTTGCATAACAGCACTATCACTTCTGCAGAGATTGAGACCGCACTTTCAGGGGCGGGATTCTGGCTGCAGTTTTGCCTAAAATGAGCACAGAGTGGATGCAGTCCACTGAGCCTTATATAGGTGATGGTTTTTAAAGCTCATATCCACCAGCCTCTCTGCATTACTCAGATATAGACACTGACCAGCTTATTCCAATCATTTACTGCTATCGCTTACTGAGATATTAAAGAGAAATTATTCATAACTAAGGAAATTGCATCATCATTCCAAAAAAAAAAAAAAAAGCATTTAAATCAAAGTAAGGATAAAAGAAGGCAAGATCAAGGTAAGGGAAAATTATCCTGGAAACTTGACTAATTGATAACTGCACAGTGTAATCCCATATGAACTTGCTGAACTTTCAGCACGTTTCAAGCTCTTGTTTTGATGACATGCCAAAAAAAGCAGATAATGACCATTTCAGATTTCTGCAGCCCATACATTCTGAGAAGTGATGCTTTGTACAGGACAAAAAGAGCCCCAAGAATTACATGCCATGCTAGTATCTGTCCCATACTTACAGCAACTGAAGATGGCAAATGAGGAATTTGTAGCAGAGTAAGTACTCAAGGACAGACTTATGTTACTCTTCTTGAGGCTCCTTATATTTTGTGAGCAGTAGAGCTACTGCACAGAGGTGCTTGTGCCATGTGTGGGGGTGCAGACTGCAGTGCTGCTATTACTCAGCGGTAAGTCAACATAGCTGAAAAAGCATTTCCACTTGGCTCAAAAACCCCAATATTTTTCCACGGTGGGACATGTAATGTTTGCTGCCCTGCATCCCTTTCTTCAGTATCTCTGCCCTCATAGGCTATAGCAGGAAGAACAAAAAACCCCCATAACCTCAAACTGTCTATACTTTGTGGCTAGCTAGAGCCAAACGTAGGGACTACATCCCTCAGAACTCCTGTGCACTACAGTAACACCACCAACAACCTGTTTTTACATGCTGTCCATGTACATTACTGCTCTGTTTAAAAACAAAGCAAAATTTCTATTAAGACAAAAAAGATATGCATGCCTAACATGTTTAGACTACATTAGGAGATCCCGTCATTGTGATTATGAATCTAGGGACAAATATCAAGCCATAAGTATATATCAAGGTCTGGATATATACCTTGCCAAGTACAGGGAGACAAGAAGCAACTGAAAACTGGTTTATGCAACTATTAGGAAGTTTTCTCATGGAGATGGGAGTCTGGAGGGCCAGAGAAAGAAGAAGGACTACAACCTGACAGACTGACCGGGAAGGGACTCCCAGGTCTGCAGAGGCAGAAGACCCCTCTTCCACAGAAGGACTTAAGCACATCCTTCCCCTGCTCTCTCCTGTTCACCCAGACACTTCCATTGGCGACACCCACCTCCAGCCGCCCAGCCGGAGTGCTGGAGAGGACCCTGCCAAGATAAGAGGGGACCTCAAACTCCTGCTGCCAAGAGCTGCCCTCTATAACCTCTCTGGGAACCAGCTGATCAAGAGGCTCAGTGGACGTCCTGTCAAGCCCTAAATAGAGGGAGGTGAAACACGAGATGCTGCAAAGTCCTTTCTGCTCAGTCCAGGCAATGTCATTCACACAGTGTTTTCTCTGCTCCTGTAAGAGCACTAGGGACAGGGCTCAGAGCTGTCACATCTTGCAACACACGGAAAAGCTTTCCTTTAGCTAATGAAGATGGCATATTCTTATCATTCCCCCACCAACATACAGCCTTAAAATGGAAATAACACATTTTCTCATCCACTCATCCCACCAATATAGTTTTACATGTGCTATTTATGTAATCCTATATTTAAATGTGTGGATGATTTAAGAAATGAAATGTAAACAACCCCTTATTAATCTGTTTAACAACCACAGCTGTACTTTGCTCCGAGATGACCAAAATACTGAATTCCTTACTTATGTAAGTAGAGACATTGAGTCAATGGGATTTTTTTACATGAATAAAGACTAATCACATGATTAAGAACTACCGGCATGGACCCTTGAAATGGTTATTTCCAGTTTTAAGTAACAAAAAGTACTGAGATTACAGAAGCATTCACTGAAACTATATTCTTCAATATTATATTCTACAGGCATATTTTCCCCTCCGCACATGGAAATTACTGTCTATGCTATTTACGGTCATTAAATGTCAATCAAGGCAAAAGCTGAGCAACCCTTATTTTCAAAAACAATGTGATGAAACAAACAGAACTCAATAGCCACCTAAAGAACAGCAAGCTCAGCCACAATTACATTAGTTTATACTGTACTGTGCTTTACTGTATGCTATACTACTTTAACCTTTTGACATGTAATGACTAGGAATTCTCAGAAAAGAACAGCTGTAAACAATGATTAAATAGCTATCTGAGGCAGCATCCTTTCGGAACATGTAATACTGAGGGCTCAGGAAAGCTGAATACTTCATAAAGTTATTTTAATTTTCTGTCCTCTATCTGAAAAATGGCAATAATAAGCTCTTTTCCCTAAAGTGCTAAGGCAACACTAGAATAAACACGCTTCATGCACCTTCAGCACCCACAGATTTCTATGCCTGGGTCTTTGTCTGAGCGCTTGGTACAGAACTAAGCATGTCATCACTCTTCACCACGGAAGAAGATGAGGATTGAGGGTGTTCTGTATACCACAGGACTGGTTTACACGGCTTAGTTCCCTAACTTACTGGTCTGCTGGAAGCAAGCGTATGCCAGGTGGAAACGACAGCCGCTGT